TTATTTGAAGGGCAAACATAAAATGGTGTCGATTCCGAAAAGCGAATAAAACCTTGGGTAATAATCCTGTAAAAGAGGTTCTTGTTGTGACACTTATCACAGCATTCGTCAGTTATTTCAATCCATATACTCGTCGAAGTTCATCGTCACTGATAAGACAAGTTGATATTGCTTTTTTCTCATTAAATTTTTCTGATGCGCTTTGAATATTATTTTCTGATGTGTGTAGCTGCAATGATGGATTGTATGTATCTGCTTGGTTAAAAATGAAGAACAAGATCAAATCTAGTTAAGCTAAATAAGTTTTTGAAAGGGAGCACATTTTAAAAACGAAATGTTGTAAAAACAGTGGTTGAGAATAGGAAAGAAATCATTAAAATAAAGTAAATATAAGAGTGCACCTCTGCTGCGACATTATTTAAAAATGTGAGAGCCAATAACATAATGGATTCAGTTTTTTTTTTTTGAATTTCCTTCATAGTTTGCTTTTTCGGGAAAAAAAATTTTTTTAATTTTAGCGTTAATTTTCCATAATTTGTAAATTGTAGCTTTTCGATCGTTGTGGTCCCGAAGATTTTATGATGGATCTTTGTGACTATCAGAATAAAACATTCTCTTTCGATAAGGTGGATGATAATTATCATACTGGAGAATTGGGAGCAGGAGTGCACGTAAGTTTAAAATTTGTTTATATCAAACATTCCATCATACAGGATGATTTTGCAGTGAATCATTTCAGTTATTTTGCTAATGTCCAATGCTTTACTTGTAAATATCGTCTAATTAAAAATAGGTTTGAATCGTAAATTGATCTGCTTTGTGTTCCGTGTTCCAGAATGTTGTATGTTACGTCAATATTTTCTGACACTACAAAAGTTTAAATCTTCACTGCCATATGGAATATTTCAAAAAAAAAATCATTGCTTTTCTTTCATATAATCGGTATTAGCAGTATATTATGTATTAACAATGAGCATAGAAATTAAAATGATAAATTTAAGTTTAATAAACATCGGCCATAAAATTTATTCTCAAAATTTAAAATTACTACGATATCGAGTTTGTTTACTTTTTAGAATGCGTTTATTGATCTTATTTTGGCGTTGATAATAAAGTTGATACTAACAATATTTACATTTGGCATCAAAGTCCCTGCTGGTCTGTTTGTACCAAGTCTTGCTATGGGTGCTATTGCTGGTCGTTTATTGGGTATCACTGTAGAGGGAATAGCTGCGTCTCTGCAAGTATGTTGAATGTTTTATTAATTACTTTTATTCTGTGGCTTACTTTTTAATAAGGGTCATCAACCTAAAAAATTCAGCAATTTTTTTTTTTGTTCTCCATATTTATGTTAAACAAAAGGTATGTACAGTAATTCAATCAAGAAAAATTAATACTGATTGTGCAAACTTTATATTTATTTGAAATTGCGAAAACATGTTATTGAGTTAAGCAGTCAAATGAATAAAGCTAAACTCATTATTATTTGTTAGCATTTTCATGTATAAATAAGTATATGTATGTATAATGTTAGAAGTTGCTTCAGAAGAATGCTGAAATACATAATACTATTTGGTCTTGCCAAGTTGGTAAGGATTGTGTTATGCCAGGACTTTATGCAATGGTTGGTGCTGCTGCGGTACTTGGCGGAGTAACAAGGTATATTATATTACTAAATTGTATGAAAATATGCTGAAACATTCAGTAAGGTATGAGCTTATTTACAATTCAGTAATCTGGTTTTTTCTTTTTGTATTTTACAAGGGAAAATGCATTCGATTAACAAAAATTTGTGCTTTAAACAAATCTCTTCAAATTTAAGATTTCAAACCGAGAAAAATAATTCAGATTGCAATGATGTTTCTATTTCTTGCATGGTCGTGCAACTAATTTATTTCGTTTTAAAGGATGACCGTTTCATTGGTTGTAATTATGTTTGAATTAACGGGAAGTCTTGAATTTATCGTGCCGACAATGGTTGCTACAATGTTTGCAAAATGGATTGGTGATGCTTTCTACAAAATGGTAATCATCCTTACCATGAAATTAGCATTAAAATATCCAACACAGATTTTTTTTTAAATGACTGGCAAATTATATATAAGATACTGCTTCATTTTATATAATTCGGTTTTTCAAATTGTTTTTTTTTTTTTTTTTTTGTTTCAGGAAAAAAAAAAGGAGTATATTTCAGGGTATATATGATGCGCATATAGATTTGAACGGCTATCCATTTTTAGACAACAAAGGCGAATATCCATATTCCACAGTTGCTATACAAGTAATGAAACCTGGACCAGGTAGAAAACTTTCTCTATTTCAGTAGTGATTTTTCTGAGCATAAAATAATTTGAGCAATTCTGAATTCATGTGATATTTCAAAGATTCGTCCTATAGTTTTTGCCTTAAAGTTTTTTAATTTTAGGAAAAATGCAGTCCTTTCAAAATTTATTTAATTTTTTAGGTGGTGGCATGTTACGAGTAATCACACAAGATACGATGACAGTTGGTGATATTGAAGTTTTGCTACGTGAAACTAATTTTAACGGTTTTCCAGTTGTCGTCAGTGAAGAGAACTTATACTTAGTGGGATTCTGTCCACGGTTAGATGTTATTCTTAAGACATTTTTATTTAGGCTATTTTTTATTATGAAATAAGCACTGATTGAAGATATTATAAACTGATATTTCAGACGTGATTTGCAACTTGCTCTACATTCTGCTCGTAAGTTACAACCTTATGTTGTCACAAATTCAATTGTTTATTTCAAGAGTGATGTCCCAGAGACAGCTGAAGGTATTCCAGCACCGCTGCGTTTTCGTAAACTCATTGATTTGGTAATTTTTTATTACTAATGTTCACCATTTTTAGCAGATCAAATATTTAGATAAATTAAATCATTGATCTTTTTGATGATTGTTTATAACTTGTACTTATCGGTCGAGTCTGGTTTTCTTTCCGTCTTTTTTCAAACATTGTTTGCTAAGCACTTTTAGAAATTTTAGATTTTCGTTTATTCTTTATTGCATTGTGATAATTAGAAATTCAATACTTCTAATATACATCTTTATTCGGTTTTTATTTTATTTTATAATTTTTAATATACATTATTTGAATTTTTTAAATACGTTTAGTTCCGCTCATTTGGCATTTGAATAAGATTTGTGCTACTAATCATAGTACTAAATTTTGAAATTCAACTTAATCGTTTGCAGAGTGTTTTTTAAATTGAATCTTCAGGCACCGATGACTGTAACCGATCAAACACCAATGGAAACAGTAATAGATATGTTTCGAAAACTTGGTTTGAGACAAGTACTTGTAACGCGCAATGGTCGCCTTCTTGGGATAATCACCAAAAAGGATATTCTTGATTTTATGAAAATGGGTGCCGAAAATGCTGAAAATCATTCTTTCTAAGTCACTCTTTTATTGAGAAATCTTTTTTTTTTTAAAAAAAAAAAAAAAAAAAGCTCTACTTGTAATTGTGGTTAGTGTATGATTCCCGGTTACTGCAATTGGTAGTATTCGTTGTTGCAGGAATTTTCATAATTGTTATACATAATTCCCAGTGAAATATTAAATTTTGCTTCATATTAGCATATTTTCAAATGTTCCATAGAAAATATGGATTAATTTGTAAAAAAAAAAAAAAAAAAAAAAAAAAAAAAAAAACTGATATATACATTAATGCATGAAAAAGGATATTTTTGTTACATAAATTAAATGAAATTCGTCAATAAAAAACATAAGATAGTATTTTTTCTTCTGTTAATATTCTTTAATTTTTTCTCATCCGTGGTTTTCGTCATACCGATGTTTTTTTTTTTTTTTTTTTAGCTCTTTCATAATTTGTAGAATTCAACAAGTATATTGTGATATTTCTTCATTTTCTTTAGAAATGGTAATTACACCTTCAATTATTGTATATATTTCTAAGAGGAACACAAACGATCTAACTATTTCGTACTATTGATTTTATAATATCGTCAACTTTTGAATTAAGCTTATTTTTTTCTGGAATTAATTAGACAAACAGAGAATAAAAGCAAGAAATAGCAGTTGAAGGAAAAGATTTTTCTTAGGCTAAATAGATTTTACCGAAAATTTATTCTTGGATTATCAAGTACTGTTTATCACAGTAATATATTATTGTTTGTGTAATGATGATGAAAGCAGTAAAAGAATTATAGGAGTTTATCATGTAAGAATTCTAAATAAGAAAGTCAGTAAAATAATATCCTTTTTGTTTATACCTTTGATAAGATAAAATTGAAATAACTGTCACATTACGAAAATCAATAATTATGAGTTTTTACAATGTGCTAATTATATCAGTTTGTGTAGACTATAAATCATTTGATAAATTTAAAGTTGGTATCAACTTTAACAAAACAAACTGTTTAATGTGATAAATTTTTGCACTTCTAATATGAATGTTTTCTTTCATTCAGAGATTCTTTTTGCTTAAAATTTGAGAATTCAATTTTGATACGCTTTTTAGAATTTTCCATTTGCTTGATTTGCCATTAAATTCATATTTTTTTAGGTATATTGTCACATATTTCATATTTGTTTTAAATTATATTGTAAATTTACACTGTGATTTTCCTTCTGTTCTTTTTGCCATGAAATAAAAACTCTATTATGCTAATAAAATTTATTTTCAAATAATTTCTCTTTTTTTTTTTTTTTTTTTTGTTTTTTTGTTTTTAAAGATGAAAAGTGATCATTCCTTAGTGATACATCTGATTAAATTTTGCATGTATGTATGGGATAATTTTATGTTTTAAGTATTGAAATTTTAAGTTTTATTCGCATTTGCAAATTTTAGCTATGATTTGAGAGAAAGAGAATCATTTAGCTTAGTTTTCTCTTTTAGTGTATTAGCAAAATAAGGATAAATAACTTTTTGCAGTGTTAGACGTCATAAACAATCCAACTGCATTGAATTTTTGGCAGATTTGATTAAATATTGATAATTTATTTTTGGTTCATCATGCGTGGCCAAGGTACTTCGGTAATGCCAGTAACAGCTGGATGTCGTAAAGATATTGAACGTTTATTGAAGTTGTACAAAGAGAAGGAAACACTTCGATATAAACCATTCATTGAATTATTTGATAAAATGAAATTTGCGACAATATTTATGGGTCGTATGAGTCCTGCTGAGCTCTATGAAGTAAATTTCTTTTTTCTTTTTTCATTCTTGAAAGCTTAATTAGAGATATTTTAATTGTTAATATATTATTATTGTTACTATTATTTATAGTAATGTATTAGTATTAGCTTTATTATATTAGTAATATATTATTATTAGATTTGATATTATTATCAAAGATATTTTAGTTGTTATATTAATGTAATTGTATTTAATTATATTAATACATTATTATTTATATTAATATATTATCAGAAATATTTTTCTTTGAGTCTGCTAGCGTTATTTCATATCTTTCGAACTAGAAGAGAGATCAATATGTACATTACTTATCTTGTTAATTTGATCTCGATGATAATATTCATGAAATACTTTAATAAATATTCTTAAGATGAAATAAATCCTTCATCTATTAATCAGTCATTTTTTTTTTTATCGGCAATTAGATAGTTGATATTTAGTTTTTTTTTTTTTTTTTTTTGTGTAATTTTTGTTGTAAATTTTAGTTTAGTGAAAAATTGCTTCAAATAGCAATTTCATATGCTATGTCATATCGTGAACGAAAACCAGCTGAGTATGCCGAGGAACCAACAATTGATAATGAGCCTATGTCATTGTCAGATATACAATTCAGTAATGAAATGACTTTACAGGTGCAAAATTTAAATTTCATTCATTAAACATGCTGAACTTGCTGCTAAAATATAGTTTGAAGATGAGATTAATTATAAAGTTTATGTGAAACTGTGTGTGCTCTTTCTGAAATAAACAAATTGAAATGTTTTCTGAAAGTGAGTTAATGAATTTTAAATGTTAATCGTATAATAGTTTCAAATAAACCATTTTTTAGGAACGAATGTTTGGTATATATCTAACATATGTTTTATATTTTGTGCAACCAGAAAGTTATGTAGCACAAGTACGAGTTACACCTGATCAGATGGCTGATTTGATTGATTTTATCAGTGAGCGTTTAATTCCGGAACGACATATTGATGCATTCGCTGCCTTATTCAAACTTATTAACGGAGGAGCATTTCGTATTTATGCTTTTGAAAAAGAAGTAACTTTTTTTTGAGTAATTGATTTTTTGAATATAATTTGAATGTCATCTTAATTTTAATTTATTATATATTTAAAATCATTTATTTGAAGTATTCTTTCAAGATATCACTCTAATTGCAATCTAAATATCTAACCTATCCAAATCTTAAACTGAATAATAAATTGACATTAGGTTGAAAACAGTGGTTTATTCAGCTTATATAGAATGATTCATTTCTTTCTGATTTCTTTGGATTTGAATAATTTTCAGCATAATCCATTACTTCATCGTCGTTTTGATCTAAGAGAATTAGATGAAGGTGGTTTAGATGAAACGGAATTGCAAGAACATAGTTTTTTGAAAGCACTTGGTGATGATATTGTACTCACGCAAGCAGATATCATTTGCAAACGGTTTGTTTTATTGTTGTTGGTAAGAAATTTTGACATAAATAATATTTTAGAGAAGAAAGAAAAAAGTATGAAATGGTTTGGAATAAAAATTATAGAAAAAATAAAAATTTATAAATCTAACATATTACTTTTATGCAAAACATTCAGTGTATTCTTTGCTAATTTATTAATTCAGCTGGTAGTAAATCAGTTTTTCAGTTATTTGGCTGCGAAAGAAAAAGTCAATCTTCCGGTCGATTTAAATATAAACTTAGTGCAAACAACAGTATCAGAAATTTACAACGAGTAGGTTTTTTTTTTTTTTTTTTTTTTTCCTCAGTTAATTTGATTTTTATAATTTTTTCGGAATGGCCTAGTTTCAATTTAATTTTCTCTTTTATTAGTTATTGTTTGTTGATTGAGTTTTTTTTTACACTTCATCTTTTCTAGTATCGTGAAGCATATTTTAACTCGTTGAAATTCGAAACAAGTTTCTAATCCTATAAAATATCACTTTTTTTGTGATTTACTACAAATCTTGATGAGGATTTATAAGTGAATAGTATCAACCTTTTAATGAAGATTTACGTTTTCTTTTTTCCTTTTTAGACTGTTGCTAATCTTTGATATCAGTTTTATACCATATGTTTAGTATGACTTGTAATGATTAACAGTTTTAATTACTTTGATATGTTTTACAGTATTTTAAAAAGTACGGGAACAGAAATGGAAGCAGATACATCGCCGAAAAAAGCACCTCGTCAAAATTCGGTAGGATACGATTGTCTAATTTAGTGTATATGAAATTTTTATATTCTTTTTTTTTTTTTTATTTTATTTATTTTGTATTCATTCATAGGGTCGCTTTCGCTCAGCAATTAAAGAGAAAGCTTATAAATCGCATATAGTTCATGCTCGACATCGTCGATATCTTGTGGATCCATCGGTTTCATCAACAAATAGTGAAACGGAACAAGAGCAAAATATGATATCTGCATCACAGGTGTCTTATTTATTTATTTATTCATTCAACTAATTATTTATTTATTTATTCGTTCATTTATTTATGTAATTTATTCAAGTATTGCTTACTTGTTTGTTTAATTTATTTACTTTATTGATTAATTTACCTAATTAACTGATTTAGTTATTTGTCACAAAAAAAAAAAGTATTATGCATTTTTATTAGATCTTCAGTTGATTTACAATCATTTTATTATAACTTGGAACTTAAGGGAACATTTATGTGGAAGCTTAAGTAGGTTGAAGAATACTTTATATATTAGCTAGCTAATTGAGATTATTTTTAAAATACTACAAAATAAACAGAGACTTAAAGGGAAATAAATAGTTTAAAAAAGTAACATTGTGATGAGAATAGTTCTGTTTTAGATGCTGAAAACTCTGAGACGTCGTTACTCAGCAGGTGAATCTGAAAAAAGTATGGAAGGTGAGGATATGGATGATGTTTTGTTATTTTCTGGAAAAAAACAGTTAAATGAAAGTGGATCATCGACTGAAGTAGTAAGTTATTGATATATTATGATGGATAACTAATAGTTAAAGTTGAAATGATGATTTAAAATGAATTGTGAATATTAGAAGCTTATGGTATTGGTATTGATGGTAATTATTATCTGCGATTTGTTGTTGCATTTTATGAAGATGATTTTGTTTTAATTTTGATTAGAATCATTCAATGATAAGATGATGATAATAAGATGATATTAGGAAAACGATAGATAAATATGACCATGATTTGAGAAGAGATTAATTGAAAGGAGTAGGATTGCATTAATAAAAAATAAGAGGATATCAAATTTACCTGAGTAATAACATAACTGATGTCTGAAAATATACATTAAGGCAAAAGAGGCGACAGTTTTAGAAGAATGATTGATTTGAAAAAAAAAAAAAAAAAAGAGAAATTACCAATTGAGCAATTCTCTTCTAACCAAAACAAAGAAATAACGCATTAGGATAACACAGAAAGCAAAGAGATATGAGAAAAGCGAATGGTGAATATTTTGTGACATTAAAATATTTCAGAATGGATCAAGTAAAAAATTGAACAAGTCATTAAAAGTAACAAAGAAAGGATTGGGTGGAAGAAAGAGAGGAAGGTATGGCAAAGTTTTGTTTCGTTCTTTTTTATTTTTTTTCTTCTTTGCATAAAAGATTGTAATTTTTAAAATCAAATATTAGCTAACATTTGTTATGCATTTTCAAATCATTTATAATGCACTAAAAGATTAGTCCATTAAATATTGTACCAACAACGATAAAAGCAAGGAAATTAAATTCTTTGGTCATTATGATAATATTTTACTTGACTTTTTTATGAATGTGCAAATATCGCTATTTGTTGGTGATAATTTATTAGTTAAAAGTGAAAATATCTAATTATCGAGATCAACTATCAGTTAATTTTCAGTGTTATTTTTTTCCTGTTTTAGAAGTAAATTGAGTATTTCGGAAATGTCACTTGCTGAATTAACTCATGATCTCGGGCAAAGTGTTGCAGCTTTGAGTCAAGAAGAAAGAGGTTAATTTGAATATTGTATTATTATTATTATTATTTGATATAAACAACTTACTTTGGAAGCCTATTCAGTCCATATTTTCTTCCAGAAATCGAAAATTCGAAGAAAGAAAGGATTGCTGATCGATTGTTGGAAAAGCTTCAGAAAGTTCACGAAAAAAATGACTGATAATAATCGAAAAGAACATTCCATATCAGTGATCTTTTTTATGCTAATTTTTACTGATGCAATAAAGTTGTGATATTGTTGTCGTAATTTTTTTCATCATATATTTTTAAAAAAATTTTGTCCATTTCTAATGTTTTAATTTGTTTCTGATTTTTTTTTTTTTTTTTTTCATTCAAATAAACTACGGATAGTTTGATCCATTTGATGATGATTATTACCTATGTTGTCTTATTTGAAACTTGTAAGATTTGTTGAAATAATAATAGTTGACACTTTTGTTTAAATATTTTTATTGCATTAAAATGTATATATGATTGTATAACTTTGATTATATAATACATAACAGTTGTTCAGTAATTTTTAAATAATATTTTATGTTGAAAGAAAAATTGAAAGAAAAAAAAAAATGTAAAATTGAGAAGTTTTGTGGAAAATTATTAATGCATAAATGGATAGATACTCCATATTATCATTTCTATTGAAAGTTTCGTCTATACCTGTTATCACTTGTATGTATATAAAATCAAAAGAAAAAGTATATAAAAAAATATCAAATGACTTATTAATATTCAAATAGAATATGCAAAAAAAGAAAAACGAATTTATCCTATCTTTGTATTATTGCAAAATTATTTAGAAGTTAATTGATTACTTTGCTATTATAATTATTTGCTATAATTTTCATTTTTCTTTAGCATATTTAATTTTTGTCTTTGCATTCTTACCAAGAATTCTTAAAGTAATATAATAAAATATTTACGTATGGAATTTTTTTATGAATTTATAAATTAAAATTTAATACTACATCACAAATGCATGTGTTAAGACTCATTTGAAGATAATAAAATTTTAGGTTTATATCAGTGCTTTTAAATTATGTTTGAAATTAGAAGTATGATAGTTTCAAAACTTAGCTAAATGTCTTTTAAATCTTATAATTACTTTTAATTCAATTAGCTTATTAAATTATTAATAATTGTACATTTTGCAAAAACTTTCTTTTACTAATTGTTATCTTCTCATTTCTGCCATAATTGCTGCGATAATCATTAAAAAAAAGGATAACAGTAAGCTAAAATTTAGTTTTACTTAAGCAATAAGCATATTTAAAAGTTTAAATTTTACTTAAGTAATAAATTTCATTAATTTTTACATTAAATCATTCATCCATGTTAAAATAATTAGCTTTAATTTGCTGTGTATTTAATTAATTGTTAATTATTCATACGGTAGCATTTTTGTCATACTATCAAAGTTTTTAACAAATAAATTGATACAATTTACAAAAATTATTAATGATAAAGAAGAATTCAAGACAATAAGATTGTAATTTTTTTTTTTTCAATTTTTAACACATGAGACAAAATTTATATATGAATTCATAAAGTTAAATAAATTTATGAAACAGAAATTAAAAAAAAAAAAAAAACGAATTAAAAGAGCACAGTTTTGCTTTAATTGTTACATCACATTAATTTAATAACAAATAAATATATTAAAAGCATAATTGATCTTATAACTAATCACTCTAATCAATTTTGCTTTTTCTGATTGATTAATCAAAGCAAATTAGATTAGAATTCAAATTCGAATTAACTTTTTTTTTTGTCCTGAATGTTCTAAATTTATTAATAATCTTTCTTGTCTTTTTAAGAAGTCAAAGTTTAAAGCTCATTAAAAATGTGCAAAATTATTAGCTTCATAAATAATTATCATTTAAAAGGAGTGATAATGAAACATATGTAAAGAATATAAAAATTATTATCAAAAAAAAAAAAAAAAATTAGAATTGTCTCTTATGACTAATAATAGTTTAATAGAAGAGGCATTTCTAATTAAATTGAATTGTTATTACTGCTAATGAAATTTTTAATTTAATAATATTTATTTGTGAGTTACTTTTTTTTTTAAAAAAAAAAAAAAAAAAAAAAAGATATTTCTTTTTAAAAGTAATGTGGAACAATCTTTAGTTAAATTAAGTATTACATACCTAAATCTTTTATTAGCTTTTTGTTATATTTGATATTTTATCGTAACAATTTAAAAAATTTTTCAACTTTTCCAAGAAAAAAAAAAAAATGATAATTTATATGCGAGACAATTCCAAATGAGATCGTTATAAATTAATTGTTATTTTAAATAATATTATCATTAACAAATTGCTGGTAAACTAATCTTATAGTTAAGTTAAATTACAATTTATGAATATTCATTGTCCTATAATATTATCACTGTTTAATGCTATTTAATTTTCTTATTGTCCTTGCAATTTTTCTTTTTTTTGTCATTCCTCTAGCATTAATTACTATTTTATCCGCTTCCTCAATTGTTGCTTATTGATCTATTATTTATTAATTTGATATCATTGTAATTAGTATCATTATTATTCTCATTATCATTATTATTATTATTAGTATTATTGTTACCATTCCTATTATCTGCATTATTATTATCACTATATTATTACTATTGTTATTGTTATCATTATTATTACCATTATTACTTTTATTGTTATTAATATTATTGTTATGATTATTATCATTAATTATTAATGTTATCATTATCATCATTACTATTGTTTTTATTATTCACTATCATTACTAATTATTATTATTATCATTATTATATTAATATTATTATTATCATTACCAAACTGTGCAACGCTTTAATGGATTCAATTGGCTACCCTGTGGGCAATTATATGCTTTACTGAATTCGGGTAAATTTGATAGGACTCCGATAACCCGAAATACCTCAGGACTATGCTCATCAATAAGTACTTGTTGCAATGCTGCTGCTTCCTTCTTATGTCCACACCAAAACTAAATTTAAAAATAAATAGGAGAATTAAAAAAAAAAAAATTAAATTAAATTAAAATTAAATAAAATAACAAATTAAAATTACCACTCAAATCATACATATTTATTATTTGACATGAAGAAAAAAATTTTATTAAATTATTTTAAAAAAATATGCAAAACATACGTGAGCGTACGATAGGAAAAATATTTGATCATTGGAAAAATTTTGAAAACCTGGCAAATGTGGTTCTTCATGACCTAATTGTTTAATATATTTTCTATAAGCCTAAAATATTGTATTATTTTTATTTCAAAAAAAAAAAAAAAAAACGAAAAAATTTTAAAATTCTTATATATTAATATGAACAATCTGAATACTTCATAAAGTCTTAATTGCATTTTTGTCTATAAAAAAACATTAAATTTAATATTTAATTGCAATTATTTGTAATAAATTAATTGATTAATTAATTATAGATAATACTATCAAATTGATTAATAATAATAATAAATGACTGATAATTCTATTTAAACTTATAATATCTATAAAATAACTTTTTAATTAGTAATTTTAAGATTTTTTTAATAGCAAATATTTGAAGCATACTCTGTAAGCTTCTTTTACGCCACCATTATCAGCTATATTTTCACCTTGTGTAAGTTTACCATTAACCTAAAATGAATCAAATTTGAAATTAAATAATCCAAGAAGAAAAAAAAAAAGAAAAAAATTAGATAAAATTATAATTTAACAATTTTCAATTCTTTACTCAATGAAATTTTAACAAATTATTCTTACCTTAATTCTTTTTTTTTTTAAATATAATTAACATTTAATATTAATATTAAGTATATGAATAAATTGATGGCATCCAAAAGAAAATATTAACAGAATTATTTCAAAAAAAAAAAAAAAAAAGCAAATGAAAAGTAAACCAATAATAATTGCATTTTTAGCAAAAAAAATACGTGCATAAACGTGAAATGCGTCAAGTACACAACGTACGTAAGTGGTTTATTTATTTGTTTTTTACCTTATAATCAGTATTTGGTACCACATATGAGCTGTATTGATTAATAATACATTCTTTTCGTTTAGCAAAACCATTATATGAATCAACATTCCACCAATTTAATAAATTACCATCTTTATCATATTGACTTCCTAAATATTTTAAATAACAAAAAAAAAAAAGTTTTTTTTTTTTTTTATCATTTTTTTTTATTTATTTAATTTTTAAAGAAAATGATTGATTAAAATTAATTAAAATAATGATTTCAATTATTTAAAAAATTCAAAAAAAAGCAAAAAAAAATCAGAGAAAATAAAATTGTGTAATTTTAAGAATTAAGAAAAATAAATTGAAAGATTTTAAAAAAAAAACAAAAATGTAATTACTTACCTTGATCATCAAATCCATGTGTAACTTCATGTCCTATTACTGCACCTATTGCACCATAATTTACCATTCTACAAAAAAACTTTTTTTTTTTTTTTTTTCTAATCGTTCATCAAATTTTAAAATCTGTTAAAATTTCATCGCATTTAAATTTTGAGTTCTAAAAGAAAAAGAAAAAAAAAAAAAAAAACTGTGCAAATTTTACTTTTTTGATAGTATAAAAATTCAAATAAACTGAAAGGAAAAATAAAATTTATTCATCTTAATTAATATTTAAAATTGTAAACAAACATATAAATAAACAAACTTTGGATATGTACCACTAAAGAATGGTGGTTTGAGAATTCCTGCAGGAAATGCTAAAATATATAATATTGATTCGTTTTTTTTTAAAAAAAAAACAAACAAACAAACAAATAAAATCTTTTAAAATTTAGTTTAAATTATATTTTCTAAAATAAATAATATTAATTAATGTATATTTAATAAATAATTATAAATATTTATCGAAAAAAAAAAGAAAAAGTGAAAGTTAAAAGTAATAACTTACTTAAGGCATTCTTTTCTGGTGAATAGAATGCATTGACAACTGCTGGACTTACTTCAAATTCACGCTTATCAAATGGTTCTTTCATTCGTAAAAATTCTTTTTCTTGTGACCACATAAGTACCTTTCTTAGTAAATCGAAGTATGAATCATCACTTGTAAAATTTAACTGTAAAATATTTTTTATTTAATTATAAATACAATTTTTATCCAAATTAATATTCAAATAACAAAGTTTCATTTCTTTTTAGTCTTTTAAAATTTGAAGAAAACAAAAATAAAATTATGAATAAATTAATTAATTGATAGTTTAAAAAAAAAAAAAAAAAACAAATAAATTATTTAATCAATATTTTGTTTGTTTGTTTGTTTTTTTTTTTTTTTTCACTTGATAGTTTTATTTATTCCCATGATTTATTATAGATATTATTAATAATAATAATAATAATTAAAATTAATGTTTGAATAGAATTAGTAAAGATTTACTAAAAATTAATTATAAAAATTGAAATGAAAAAGCAAAGTTTTTATTTAAAAAAAAAAAAAAAAAAAAAGTAATAATAAAAAAACATACTTTTTCATAATGTTTATCAAGTGCTGTATAGTTATTGATAAAATCAGGATAACCAATATTATTAATCATACTTACTGCCTGAAATATAATTTTTAACTTTTCATATAATAAATTAAATAATTTTTTTTTCTCTTATTTGAGTATACTGTAATGAAATAAACATATCCTTAGAAATTATTATTTTTTACTTTCTTTTTTGATAATTTGATGAATGTATTATATCTATTATTTAATAAAAATAATTAGATATTGAAGTTATTATATTAACAAATATACTTTTTGTGTTCTTTGTTCTTTTTTTTTTTTAAATCATTTATTTATCAAAATTTAATATTTTATTATAGTTTCATAAATTTATAGCAAAAAAAAAAGAAAACGTTACTTTTTTTTTTTTTTCCTTTTGTATCATAGTTTTACTTTATATTATCATATTAACAAATATTGTCACTTACTTATGTACTTGTTTATCGATTTACTTACTAATATTTATTAATATATTATCAAATAAGCAAATATTACCATTTACTTATATACTTGTTTATTGATTTACTTATCATATTAACAAATATTGTCACTTACTTATGTACTTGTTTATCGATTTACTTACTAATATTTATTAATATATTATCAATTAAGCAAATATTACCATTTACTTATATACTTGTTTACTGATTTACTTATTATATTAACAAATATTATCGTTTACATATATATTTGTTTATCGATTTACTTACTAATATTTATTAATATATTATCAAAATAACAAATATTACCATTTACTTATTATTTCTTTATCGATTTACTTACTAATACACTTATTAATATATTATCGTATTAACAAATATTATCAGTTACTTATGTAATTATTTATCGAGTTACTTACTAAAACTCTAATTTACTTAATTTGCTCAATAATTAAATAGTTCTACGCATTATTTAAAAAAATAATATTGGCAGAAATTTAAAATAAAACTGAAACCTTTTCAATAGCAACTTTTTTCGTTTCCTCATCCATCCAATCACTTTCATCAACAAGCTCTTTGAATGCTTCTTGAAGATTTGCAATCATTTTCTGCAAAATTTTCACAACAATTATTTTAATTAAATTAAAATGATTGCAGTACAAGTTAGCACATTTCATTTATTATATTACAAATTTTAAAATTATAAATTTCTAATTTTTCTACAATTTCCAGAAGTTTAATTTAAAAATTTGAAAGAAAAATTATACAAAAAAAAAAAAAAGAGAGAGAAAAACGAAAAATGAATAAATTACAACTAATAATTGTTAATGAATTAGAAAATCAAAAGAAAAACTGAACTGAATCAGAAAAAAGCATTAAAATTGTTTAAAATTTATGGAAAAATTAAATTTTCCAAATTTGACAAAATAAATTAAAGAGAAGAAAACAGCCACAATCATTAATTTAACACTAAATTGAAAAAAAAAAAAGGGACAATTTGGACAACAAAGAAACTATTTGAAATAATTTCAAATTAAAATAAAATTTAAATTTGAAAAAAAAAAAGAAATTTTTTTTTTTTTAACCAAAGCTTCTTGTTTATCAGTTGAATCAAAATGTTCTCGAACATAAAGCGCTCCACCAGCTAGCGGTAATAAACCTATCGTCACTTGCGCACATTCTTTCCAACGTGGCGATTTAGTTTGTTGACCAGTCATTACCCGTAGAAAAACCTAGAAATATTTTAAGTTTTTTTTTTTTTTAATAAACAAATATTTCAAATTATTTTTTTTTTTTTTTTTTTTTTGAATAAAAAATATTTTAAATTGAAAAGAGAATGATACACACTAAAAATTTCTATGTAATCCATTAGTTTTATTAAATAAATAAAAAAAATTTTTTCATTTTTTTTTTTAAATAATTTAATTGAAAGAAAAATTTCATTTTTTTCATTATTAATCTTCCTATAATCTTTCAAAAACGTTTCGCATTTATTCAAATTTATATTTATCCTTTTCGAAATTATTTTTTTTTTTTTAACATAATTGAAAATATGAATTGATTATTTCTGTTATTTGTCAAATTTTTAATTTGTAAATTATACTATTATATATTATTTAATTCAATATCTTATTAATTATCATAATTTAATTCAATTTCATATGGTTTAAATTGAATCCAATATTAGTATTATCAAAATATAAAGTAATAATAAGTGATGTGGTACAACTGGCACTTATATTTTTCAAAATCATTTTTTTTTTTTTTAACTCAATTTAAAATTTATTCTATTTGTTAAATCATAATGCATTGATTATATTTTAACACATTATTTTATTCAATTTTATGTAGTCTAAATTAAATTTAATATCTATTACTACTAGCATCTGAAATAATTACCACTTGTCTTTTTTTTTTTAAATTAATTTAACTTAATTTAAAATTCAATCTTATTACTTAAATCTTTATTCCATAAACTATGCTACAATATAATATTTAATTCAACTAATTACAAATCAAAGTAATAAATGATTTGATTTAAAATTCAACTAATTATAAAATAATAAATGTAATATCTGTTTTTCCTCAAAATCACTTCTTCACTTTTTACTTAATTTAAAATTCAACTTACTTGCTAAAGAGTTTTATTTTATAAATTATATTAACCTATATTATCTAATTCAATTTTATAACTTTAAACTACTATTATTGCATCAATTCAAATATTAATAAAACAATGCAAAATTGATCGATTGATTATTGATTGATTGATTGATTATTGATTGATTAGAAAATGACATGTTTGATATCTTCGTATCGTCCATCCAATATTTTCACCCACGAATGTACAATACGCCAAAAAATATAATTTGCCAATAAATAATTGCTGTTATTATTGATCAATGTTGCAATATTGTACATATAATCAACTTCGCCAATAATTATTTGTGTATTATTTTTGATTAAATTATGAATTGATATTGGTGATATTTGATAAAAGAAATTTAACCAATCAATCTAAAATACAAAAATAAACATTTTTTAAAAAAAAAAATAATAATCTAAAAAGTTATAAAATTTAATAAAATCTGAAAAGTTAAAAAATTCAATAATAATAATAATAACATTGAAAAAGAATATACAATAATAAAAAAAAAAAAAAAAAAAACTAAAATATTATAATAATCACAGTTTATTTTAAAAAAATAATAGAAAAAATATTTGATAATAGAATAATCTAAAATTTATAGTAATAAAAAATTTTGTGATAAAAAAATTTTAAATTTGGTGATATTTGATAAAAGAAATTTAACCAATCAATCATCTCAAATAGACAATAACAATTTTTTTTAAAAAAAAATTTATAATAAAAAAAAAAAATGTAAAAAGTTATAAATTTTAATAATATCTAAAAAATAATAAATTTTAGTAATAATGATGAAAAAAATTGTACAATAATAAAAAATCCAAAATATTATGCATTTTAAACATAATAAAATAATCTAAAATTGTATGACAAAAAAAAAAAAAATAAATAAATTTATAATAATAAACAATGTATGATTTTAAAAAAAAAGCCTAAAATTTATGATAATAATAAAAATTTTCATTTTATCAGTTTAAAAATTTTAAAAATGTTAATAAAAACTAATTTAACTCTTCTATCTATTGTATTTCTCATTTCTAATATATCAAATTTTGTTGAATTAACTTTTGAAATTTTTTCAAAAATTTTTAATCATTTTTATGATAGCAAAAAAAATAAATAAATAAATAAACAAACAAACAAAAGAAAACCTTTGGAAACAATGTGTATAAATCTGAAATTATTTTTCCATTATATAATCTTGTGCTATTACGTCGATCATCTTCTGGCACTATAATCTAAAATAATAAAAAAAAAATTTTATTTAATCTAAAATTATTCAAATTTTAATTAATAAAATTTTTTCAGTATGATAATTTTTCTTTTTATCAAATTACTTAATTCAATTTTATTTTTCTTTATTTCAATTATTAATTTGTTCCTTCTTTTTTTTTCAATTTAATATATTCATTTTTCTTTTTTAAATATAATTTTAGCAATTTATTTTGCATAATATTCTATAATAAAATATTAAATTATCAATTAGATTAATCATTTAAATGAATAATTCAAAAATTTAAAAAAAAGAAATAAAATAATAATAAAGATATTAACAATAAGTACCAATGTGGTTACTGTAGTTAATCATTATCATATCTTCATCTATTATCACTATCACTAATTTTATCATAATATTATCAAGTTAATTTAAAAAATTATTTATGATATTTTCTTATGAATTCATATTTTTTTCATATTATTTATAATATTTTTCTTTTAAATTATTCATAATTCTTGAACTTATCATATCTTATAATCTGCAACCTTTTTTATTTCCCACTCATTTCAAATGTTAAATTTAAAAAATGATAAAACTTTTTTTTTTTTCATCGTTTCTTTTTTTTTTTTTTTTTTTGCATCATTCTTACATTTGGGAAATGTTTATTTTTTGATTTCAAAAATAAAAGTGAAATATTAATAAGTTAAATTTTAAATTAAATATAGTTTATATATAAATTAGATATAACAATTATAAAAAAAAAAAGTTAAATATACAGTTAAATTAAATTAAATACAAAAAAAGTTAAATGTAGTTAAATTACTGATAATTTACCTCAGCGAATTTTGTTTCAAAATTGATAATATCATTGAGATCAATGATCAATTGTGATAAATCATAGGTAATATTAGCATCATCCAAAAGTAATTTAATTATATCAAGTTGATATTTCCTGTACGCATTCAAATGCTTCGCAAACATTGTTGCATTGAGGTAATAATCACGTGAACCACGTCCTAATCCAAGTGCTCCTTGATCTAACTGAAAATTTTCTTTTTTTTTTTTTTTTTTTGTTTATTCATTTAAAAAAGTAAATAAATTAATTAATGTAAATTGCTATTTCATTATGATTAATTTTTTTAATTCTATTATCATTTTATTATGATCATAATTGATTTTTTTTTTTGAATTTTATTCTATTTTGATTGATTAAAATTTATTTTTTAAATTTTATTCTTTTATAATTATTGAAACATTTTTTTTTTTAAATTTAATTCAATTTAATTGATTTTAATTTAATTGATTATTGGAACTTTTTTTGAAAAGAAAAGAAACGTAATGTTTAGAAAATGTATGCAATGCAAATTTAAAATATACAATTTTTAATCATTAATCTATAATATGTTTTGCTGTATTTAAATTTTTGAATTAAATTTGCATTCGGTTTTTTTAGAATCAAATTTTAATAATTTTTAATACAAGTTTTAAGTTTTTTTTATCAATGTCGTTGAAAATTTTTGAAAGCAAAAATTTGTGAGTTTTCCTTAAAAAAAAAAAAAAATGTGCATATTATTTTTTTTTAGCTATAAAAATTTTTTAAATTAATAAATTACAATTCTAAATTCTTAACTTCAATTATAATTTTACTAAAAATTGATAAATTTTTAATAAATTTTTTAATATTTTCACAAGGTATTATTTTATTATTTATTTTTTTTTTTATTTTATTATATTATTTTTTTTTATTATTATATTATTTTATTATTGTTGGAAATTAAGCATGATTATTTGTATATGATTAATTGAATTGATCAATGATTGCTTCCGATCATATTTTTCATTAATTCCAAACAGTTTACAAATTTCTAATATTATTTTCATAAAATAATTAATTAAAAAAAAAAAAAAAAAAGATATTTAATTAATAAAAGTGCCTTTTTGATGCTTTTTTCTTCCTTTTCCACTTTCTTTTTCATCAATAATTTAATCGAAATTATTAAATTAATAAAACAAAAGTATCATTAATTATTGTTATTTTATTAATTTAAAATTAATGGAATATAAGAAAAGAAAACAAAAGAAAAGACAAACATATAAAATATTTCTTGTTGTATTCTTCGCATCCGCATAAACATAAATTTGAAAAAAAATTTCATTTCCAAAATATCGACGAGATGATGCTAAGATATTGGTAAGATTAAATAAATTTTCATTCCAATTTTTATTATTATTGTTATTATTATCTAATAATGGCCATTTAGCTAATTGACGTAGTGATTTTAGCAATTGCCTGAAATAATAATTAATTTATTTGTTAAAATTTAAATTCGATGATATAATTTGTTAATCATTTTTTTTAAAAAAAAATAATTTCATTTATACATCAAATTAAAAAAAAAAAACAAAAAAAGAAGTAATATTTTATTTTTATATTTGAAATAAAGAAAAATTTTCATTCCATACTATTCGATTAATTTAAAGTTTTATCATCTTATCATCATCAAAAGGAAAAAAATAGTACAGTAATAATCATATCATATTCATAAAAGAAGTGATAAGGTAATGAAGTAGTAATGAGTGCTAATAAAAATCTGATAAAAAATTATTGTTACTTTCAAAAAAAAAAAAAAAAGTGAGGTAAAAATAAATTAAAATTCTTATAGACAAAATTTTAAATTTATCAAACAAAATTTAATTGTAATTAAAATTTTTTTTATACATAATAATAGTTTTTATTAGCAGCATATATCGCTTTTTTTAATAACATTTTTGATATGATAAGCTAATTGTATAATTAATTAATATTTGAAACTAAAATTATAATTAATTTATAATAATAATTTCAAATTATTGAAACATAAAAAAAAAAAAAAACAAAAATAAAAACATACGATGATTTGACTGATTCAATTTTGCTAACATTCATGCATGTCTGATAAGCAATATGTGTCATTTTAATTGATCTTGATTTTGGTTGTTCATCTGATTCCAGTAATACTACAAAAGTAAACAAATAAACAAATAAAAAATAAATAAACGAAATAAATAAGTGAAAAAAAAGAGATTATTCTTTCAAAATTTCATTTAGAAAAAAAAGTTATTAGTTTAAAATTTTAGGATTAAAAAACTTAAAGATTAATTTAAAAAATTTATTTAAAAAAACAAACATTTTTTAAGTTTAAAACTATTATTTAAAATTTTACACATTACTATTATTATAATCAAAAATTATTTTTTGTTAAAAATTATATAACTTAATATAATAATTTATATTTTTCAACTATTTTTCAGTAATAATTATAATATTAATTTATATTTTCAGCCATTTTCATGAAAATTATGACTTAATATTTTATACATTACTATTACTCAAATAAAAAAATTTTATCTTTAATTTAAAAAAAAAAAAAAGCTTTAATACTTTTTTTTTTAAAGATATATTAATTAAATAATTAAATTAATTATTAATTAAATTAATTACCTCTCATTTGTTGTCGTACATTCTCTCTAACAGATGCAAATGTCCCATAAGCAAACATATCATCTGGTATCATATGATCACGATTCCATTGACCACAAGCATATTCAAAAAAGTTATCACATGGATCAGCTGATAAATTCATTGCCATTAGCTATAAATATAATTATTATCAGCATTGTTTACAATATCACTGATAACACAACAGTTAATCATTTTTTTTGTAAACAAAGACAAAAATAGATTTATATTAAATATGGCTGATAATTCAAAAATATAATAAATATATGATAAAATAAGAAAACATAATTAAAAATAAGTAATAAATATAATAGAATTATATTATGAATAAAATAAGATAAAAAATATAATAAAACTAAATGATAAATATGGTAGAATTATAATAAATGCGATTGATAATTTGAAATTAATAATATTTTTTTTTTTGGAATTAATAATAATAAATAATAAGACTGAAATATTATTGATAAATTGAAATATTATTGATAAATTGAAATTGATAAATTGAAATTATAATAATAAATATAACTGATAATTCAAAATTATGATAAATGTATGATAAAATGAAAAAAGAAAAAAAGAAAAAAACATAATTAAAAATAATAAATATAATAAAATTATATTATAAATAAATTAAAATAAAAGAATGTAATAAAAATAAGTGATAAATATAATAAAATTATAATAAATGTGATTGATTATTTGAAATAAATTATGAATGAGTAAAAATATGTTATAAATGAAATAAAAACATAAAAATAAGTAATAAATATAACAAAATTTTGATAAAGTACGATTAATAACTCAAAATTATCACAAAGTATAATTTATGACTCATCAAATTAAGCTTAATCCAATTGATAAGATAAAATAAAATATTTTAAATTATCATTTAAATTTTAATCAGAATTAATAACAGCTAAATTATCATTTTAACTGTTATTAATTCTGATTAAAATTAATCAGCCAAATGCATTTCAATGAGGAAAAAAAAATTGGATAATTAACTTCCTTTAACTAAATAAAATTAACTAATTAAAAAAATATTAATACGATTGCTAATTTTTAAAATTTAAACCGAAGAGAGAAACAAAAATGAAATGATTGAATTAATAACTATAATATAAAAAATGATTATTTCATTTATAAACTTCCAATATATTCAAAAAAAAAAGAAAACCTTTACAATCATCTTTTTACAAAAGCTTTATAATTAAGGCTCAAATTTTTTAATAAAAATATTTCCAATTAAAATTAAAATTTTCATTAAAATATTACACAATTTGATTAATATTTAAAAAAGAAAAACCATAATTTTAATGCAAAATTTTGATATTAATTGTGAAAAAATGAATTTTATTTTGGACAAAAACATTTATTTATTAGCTAAATTTACAATTTAAAAATTTGAAAAGAAAAAAATTTAATTAATATAAAAATTCTTACAAGATTATTTGCTGCTTGAATGCAACCTTTTGTTAAGCATACCCGTTTTTCAATATCCTCAAAAATTTTCTTATTGCTATCAGTATTACTGAATTCTTTTTTCTTCAGATCTGCAAAAAAAAAAAAAAAAATAAGTAAACAAATAAACAGATGAAATAAATAAGTAAACAAATAAATCAATAGATAAATCAAACATATGTAAAATAGAAAGATGACAGCAAATTATTTATTTTATTTATAATTAGAATAGTATTTCCAAAAAAAAAAAAAAAAAAAGTACTTTACTTAAATTATTCAATAATTTTCTAATTTATTTATTAATTATGAAAATAACTCTTTTTTTTTCTTTCAAAATATGATAATACATACAACCAAAAATTTGTAATTAAAGTATAACTAAAGTAAACATTTATAATTAAATTAAAATTTAATTTTTCAAAATTTATAATAAACATTTTAATGATTAGCCAGATGAAAAGCTTTTTGTAATTTATATTAAATGTTTTCTTTGTTTTGTTTGCTCCGCTCAGAATTATAGCTAACAATTAATAATAATACTTAATTTAAAATTTTTAAATAATTATTATAGTGATTAATATAAATTGAAATACAGTTATACAATATTTTAATTCGACTAAAACCATTAACCAGATGAAATTATAAAAAAAATTTTTGTTCGAATAATTTGAGAAATTAAGAATAAAATTTTGTTTTTTTTTTTTTGAATGGCAAATTATTCTGAACTGATTTAAATGATTTACTTAAATGATTAAATAAGTAAACAAATTATTTTGAATGACTTTAAGTGACTTACTTAAATAATTAAATAACTGAAGAAATTATTCTGAACTGATTTAAATGATTTACTAAATGATTAAATAACTAAAGAAATTATTTTGAAATGACTTACTTAAAAAATTAAATAACTGAAGAAATTATTCTGAACTGATTTAAATGATTTACTTAAATGATTAAATAACTGAAGAAATTATTTTGAACTGATTTAAATGATTTACTAAATGATTAAATAACTGAAGAAATTATTTTGAAATGATTTTAAATGATTTACTTAAATAATTAAATAAACTTACTAGTAATATCATCATTTAAAGATAGAAATAATGTCAATAATATGATAATTGTTGTAGCCATAAGAAATGTAAGCAAAATAAAAAATTGCTCAAGCGATGTCCTTCGTCGCCACCACTAAAAATTTGTTAAAAATTAAATAAATTATAATTTATATCGTTTTTTGTTTTTTTTTTTCTTTTTTCCTTTTTTTTTTTTTAATTTCAAATTTTATTTCCATCATTTTTTCTTATTTTTAACTTTTTGTTTCAATATCAAATTTCTAAATTTCATAGTTTTTCTCTATTATTAATATTTTGGATTTTGATTGTAAAAAGTTTAAAATAATTCCATAAAGTTAAGTTTAATTAAAAGCTACAAAAAAGAGAATTGTATATTTGAAACAAAAATGAAAAAATTCATTGATTTCTTCCTTTAAATATTGATAAATGGTTTTTTGATTTAAATGAAATTTTAATGTTTCTGTTATTTGAGCTATAAATTTAATATTTAAAAGTAAAATTTAAAAATCATTTTGCATTTATCTATTGCTATTTTCCCTATTTTTTTTTCTTTTTCATTTAAATTATTTTGTTTAATTTATTCATTGCTAAAAAATTAACCTAAAATTTTTGCATTTTTTTTTTTTTTTCATATTTCTTATAATTTATTCATTCTTCAACTATTTTTTATTATAATTTATTTATCTTTCAATTATTTTTATCATTACTTTTTTGCATTTTGTTTTATAAAAGTTTTTTTTGATAATTGTTTGATTAAAAAGACGAAATTCAATTTATTTCATTTTATTTTATATTAATTTATTTTATATTAAATGATATCATAGTAATCAAATATTATAAATTTTTAAAAAAAGGACATAATTTAAATTTAATAATGAAATTTCAAAATCTGATAAAAATTAATCGCTATTCAACTTTTGCTGCATTATTTAGACAAATTTATAAATATAAAACAGTTTTACATTTTCTAATTTTTTTTTTTTTTTAGTGCTACGATAAATTCAATAATTAATTCTATAATTATACACTGAAAAAAAAACATTTAATCTAAGTTTAAAACTTGAAAATTTAATAAAAAATAACAATTAAAACCTTTTATAATTTATATTAGCTAAAAAAAAAAAAAAAAAAAACACTGATATAAAATTAAACTTTTTTCTTAATTTTAATTAAAATAATTACCTGGAAGCAATAAATTGTGCAATAATTGTATTTCATAAATATAAAACCAAAACAAAAAAAAAAAAAAAAAAAAATTAATTATTAATGAAAAAATGGAAAATGACGTGAAACTTCTGATTTACACGTGACAAACGTTTTCTGATTTACACGTGACAAACGTTTTTATCATTTAATAATTAAATACTAAACGAGCAAATAGACATCGTAGAAAAGAATAAAACGATAAAAAAATTTAATTAAATTAGTAATTATTTAAAAATAAATAATTAATAACTATAATTTAATTTTAGTTTCAAAAAAAAAAAAAATAAAACAAATTTTATAAAAAAGTTCAACCTTTGACCTTTACTTAACAAACACAAAATGTGAAAACATATTAAATTACTTATCGATTTAATTATTGATTTCTTACTTCTTGTAACTTTTCACTTCCATCTTATCAACATTTAAAAAACTTTTGCCATTTACTACAATTTTAAGGTTTAATTCAATATATCTATGTGTGCATGTCTGTGTGTGTATGTGTGTATGTCTGTCTGTGTGTATGTATGTGTATGTGTGTGTGTGTGTGTGTATGTGATATTAGCTTAATTCATTTGTGATATTAAGTATTGATAAATCATTAAAAACAATGAATATTGTCATAAAAAAAAGGTAAAAAAGATTTTGAATGCTAAAAATAAACAAAAATTTGAAAATAAAAATTAAAAAGAAATATCAAAATTTGAAATTAAAAACTTAATCTTTCTGTAAATTAATACATATTTACCTATTAAATATATATTTTATACATATTTTCCCTTCTAAAAAAAAAGAAAAAAAAAAAAAAACAACACTTTTGCTATTACAAAATTAGATGACATTTAACAGTTTTTAATTTTTAAATTTAATTATTTGCATATTTTTACAAAAATATTTTATTGCAAAAAATAAAAAAAAAAATATCGAAAAAAATTGAAATTAAAAAAGAAAAAACACAAATTAAAATTAATAATAATTCAAAAAATAATGAAAAATTAATTACCATATAATAATTTATAAAATAAAAATAATTTTTGTTTTACAAAAAAAAAAATTAACGGTAAAAATGATGAAAGTAAAATTAATTAAAATGATATTTACCTGTAAAAGTGGTTTACCACCAGCTGTTTTATAAGTTATTCGTGGTGTAAAATTAGTTTCAATATGTTGCACAGGTAAAGCCATTAATAATTGTGGAGATTCACTGCAAAAAAAAAAAAAAAAAAAACAAAAGTAAATAATAAACAATAATTTTTCTTTTTGACCAATTAGAATGAAATAAAATTTTTATTTAAATTAATAAAATTTAATTAACAAATATTTCAGTCAATATAATTTGCTAAATAATCAATGACAAATTGAATGAATAAAAGCTAAAAAACATTTTTGTTTACTGCTAAATTAAAAGTTAGTTATAGCCAAATTCATTGTGTATTAAAATTTGTAAACAAAAAAGAAAAATGATATTATTTGATTAAAAATATGAACTAAAAGTGAGAAATAATAAATATGCTAATTTTTTTTTACATATAAATTGAATTATTGATTGAATATTGTTTTTATAAAATAATAATTTTATTACAATTATTTAAGTATTACTATTAAATATTATTTTCGTCAATATAAAATAAAATATTATTGCCTAATTTTAAGTATTACAATTATTGAATCATATTTTTGCTAATATATTGTCAATAACAAAAAGATTCAGTAAAAATTTTTGAAAATAATCAGTAAAAATTGCATAAGATAAGAAATGATAATGTTATCATATTGTGATGGAAGCAAAAATTTTTGTCACAAATATTTGACAAATTCATTGTTAAATGTTAATTGCCTCCGGACATTTCAGCTAAATAGCAATTTGAGGAAATTGATTGATCAATAAAATCAGCACTTTAAGTATTTTGATAAGGAACAATGATTGCATCAATATTCACTGATAAGTTGAAAAACTTTTGTTAAACAAGTTTTTTTTTTTTAAGAAAAAAAAAGAATTCTATCATTTCATTTTGAAATTTATAAATGAAAGTACAAAAAAAAAAAAAAAATAGATAAAACAAAATTGTTATATAATTAAAATGTAATTAAAAATTTTTAAAATCGTTTTTGAAAAAAAAAAAAATTGATTTAATGACAATTTTGTGATGCAAATAAAAATGATAAAATAATTAGAATTTTGGTAAAATAAATTGAAATTACTTTTATTGGATGATTTTAACCTCTAAGTATTAAGTAAATAAGTAATTATGTTATAACTATTAGAGTATATAATATTTAAAAAAAAAAATTTGAAATTACTTTAAAAAATTCGTATTTAGATAAAGCGTATAATTAGCTTTGACTACGAATGAAAGTATTCCTTATCACAAAATAAGAAAAAAAATCACTGATAATTGATAATACTAATATTATTTGATTAACTAATAATTGTTATTGTTTCCATAAAATAATAAAAATTATTTGAACAAATATTATCAAAAAAAAAATACAAAAATGTATTAATAAAAATATTATAAAATTCGATTAATTATAATTTAATTTAACTTAATTAGCAATAGGATACTTTTATTTTTAACTTTTTTTCTCGAAAAAAAAAGTGTAAAAGAGAAATAACAAAAAAAAAAAAAAAAAAAAAGAAACTAGAAGAGTTGTTGTTATATTTCAATAGTTCAAATCAATTTTTACAATATAATATAAAATCAAAAAAGAAAATTCCGGTTTTTAATTGGTCCGATATTTTGTCAGTAAAAAAAAAAAAAAAAAAAAAAACGAAAGAAAAAAAATTTAAATCATTGTAACAATAATTGTCACAAAATGTAGAAAATAAAATTTTATCACTAATCATTGTGACAATATTTCAATTTTCAAATGAAAAAAAATTGAAATGAAAGAAGAAGGAAGAACTTCGTTTATTTGTAATTTAAATTCTTTTTCCTTTTTTTATTGATTGCAAATTTTACAAAAATGATTCATTTTTCTTTTGCATTCTTAAAATGTAACATTTGAATTTAGCTGGATGAATTGATAAAATGAATCATAACTTAAAATTTCATATTTTTTTTTTTTTTTTTGAAATAAAATATAATACAAAAGTATATGACAAATTTGATTGCATACTAACCGGTAAAATTTTAAATTGAAATTTAAAAGCAAAAATATTTGTTAAAAGTAACATTTGATAAAAAATAAAGTTAAATTAATTTAAAATATGCATAAATGCAAAAAAAAAAAAAAAATTTTTTTTATTTTTAAGATGAAAAATGTAAAAAAAAAAAAAAAAAGAAAAATTGCGAAGAACAATTTTTCTTTTTTTTTTTGATAAACATCAAAAATGATAAAAACGACTGATATTTCTTCTTTCATTTATAAATTTCAATTATTATTTGTCTTTCTCGCTTCTTCCTTTTCTTATCCTTTTTTTTTTTTTTTTTTTTTTATTTGATTAATTAGTTGCATTTATATTTTTTCATTTAAGAATTGATCATAAATTATAAATTCTTTCGAAAAAAAAAAAAAAAACGAATTAAAGTTTAAAAATGAAATATTTGTAAAGTAATAATATCATTTCACTTAATTTTAATTTAGTTTGATTCTAATTTAAACAGTTTAAATATTCAAAATAATATATAATTTCATTTCGTTTTTTTTTTTTAAATGTAAAAATTTGTTCGCTTCTGTTTCATTTTTTTTAATTTATTTTTATTGCTATCTTTATAGTATTGTAATTTCAATTGCTAATTGTTTTTTTTATAAATATGTAAATACAGTAATTCTTATTGTAGCAGTAAAATGAAAATATTTAAATTAACTTATTGTTATTTTTTGCTAATACAATATGATTTTCATTTAAAAGTATTTTAATTAATAATAATTTTTTGAATAACTTTTTCGAATTTTTAATATTTTTTTTTTTTTAAAAAAAATAATGATTACTTTTTTCTTTTGAATAATTTTCAATCTCTTTTTTCGAATTATTAATTGTTAATTTGAAATGCTAATTACATTTAATTAAATTTTAATTAAAATAATGATAACTTCATTCTTTTGGATAATTTTGAATCGCTTTTTGAATTATTAATTAATTATTTAAATTAATAATTACAATAATTATATTCACACATTTTTTTGTGAATTATCAGTGAGTATTACTAATATGAATGTTATACAAATTAATAGAAATTTTATATATTTAATTTTAATTATAGTAAATTATAATGAATTGAAAAAAAAAAAAATGAAACAAATGGAAGTGATAATTTTAAAAGTTAAAAAAATAAATGAATATTATTAATTTATATTAATGATGATTAATATGCAAATTTTTTTTTTTTTTGAAATTGTTATTATTTTAAAAATAAGCTTACTTAAAAAGGAATTTAATTTTATTATATATTTGTATAACTGTGCAAATAATTATCACAATTTTATCATTATTAATGCAAAACATGATTTTATCATTATTTATAAATTAGTGATTAAAGAATTGGAAATAACTAAATAACTAACATATATTTATGTTTCAAATATTGAAATGTTTTTAAATTTAAAATGAAGCAAATCTAAGTGCAAAAAGAACAAAATTTTCATTCTTTCATTTTTTTTTCTTTATAATATATAATAATTGTACAAATAATTATCATAATTTTATCATTACTTATAAATTAATGATATAAAGAATTGAAAAATAATTAAATAGCTAATATATATTTATGTTTTAAATATTTAAAATGAAGTAAATTTAAATTACAAAAAAAAAAATGAATTTTTATTTATTCTTTTTTTTAAATCTTTTTTAAAAAAAATAATAATAAAATGATAAAAAAAAAGAAATACCTTGTTGGTATAGCAATATAAGATGCATTACTACTATCTTCAATTGAGATCAATTGCAATTGACTTTCATTTTCATCATCATTTTGAGCCATAATATGTTTTAAATGGCCATCAATATTCATCACCGATTAACAAATAACAACAAAAAACAAACAAACAAACAAATAAACAAATAAACAAACAAGCAGAAAAAATTATGAAGGATGGAAGGATTGAAGAAAACCTTCGTTTGTTGTATTAATAATCTAATCGTTCTTTAAATCATTTCTTCCAAATTGTCTGATAAACAATTGATCGGTTATTCTCTTCTAAATTATCACAAATATATAACAATAAATGAAATTAAATATTTGTGAAACAAATTCTTTTTAAAACAAAAAAGAAATTTCTTAAATTTATAAATTTCAATGATTTCAATAAGCGCAAACTATCAATGTTGAATTTAATAAATTTAAAAAATTTCAATGAGTATAAATTATGTATGTTGTGTTTAGCACCGAAAATTAAACTTTTCTTTTTGAAATTTTGAAAATAATTTTTATTATTGTCATCAAAGGAGTAAATTTTTTTTATTTCAATCATTTAATTTTATCATCAAAGTAATATATTTTTTTTTTTCAGATATAATAATAATTATTCGTTTTTTTTTTCTTCTTTAATTAATTAAAAATTATTAAGTTTTCAAATAATATAGCAAAAATATGAGAGAATATCAAGAGAATAGATGAAAACTATTAATAATATTATTATTTACTTAATTTTATATTATTTACGATATTTTAAAATTAGATAACTTTTTGTTTTGTTTTGTTTTTTTTCTTAAAAAAAAAAAAAAAAAAAACAATAATATCTCTTAAATTTGAATTAACTACATTTAATTATATCTTTAAAAAAGAAATACTTAACTCTTTGATTATATTAAAAAATTTAATTGAAGATTTAAATAAAAACTATCATTTTTTTTTTTTTGCTACTATAAATGTATGATTTAAGTTTATTTTGAATATAAAAAAAAAAAAAAAATGTGAAGAATTATTTGAAATAAATTGAAAACAAATATGAAATAACAGTAAATCATGCAGATAGAATAAACAAATGATAATATATTTTTATCAAAGAGAAAGAGAGAGAGAGAGAGAGAGAGAGAGAGAAAGAAAGAAGAAAAGAAAAGATTATTGAAGGAATTAATTTAAACAAAACTTGTAAAATACAAAGATTAACATAGATTATAATAAATGATTATTACAATCAAAGGATAAAATTTACGAATTATTTATTTACTTTTTCTTTCTTTCATTCTCTCTCTCTCTCTCTCTCTCTCTCTCTCTCTCTCTTTCATTTTTCTATGCTATCATCATCATCTTTTTTAAATTATTATTTAAATAAATCTGAGTTATTGATGAAAATTTTAGCAGAAATATGCAAAATTATTATTATTACAATTATTTATATTATTGTTTATACAATTATTGTTTATATAATAATTATTAATTATTAAACAAATTAGAATAAATAAAATTAGCACAAAAAAAAAAGCGAAAAGAAAAAAAAAAACAAAACTAAGCGAAGGATTAAGTTGAATGAGTTAATCAAACAAATTTTTTAATTACTTAGCAAATATTTCCAATTTGTTTTTTATTTTGCTTACTGTAAGAGAAAAATATTATTAAGTATTTACCGTTGAAGTAAGTATGTTTAATTTATTTTATATTTTAAAGAATTGAAATTTGCCACTTTTTGTTGATTGTAATTAATTCGAAATGAAAATAACAATTCGTTAATAAATTTTTTATTTCTTTTCAAATTAATTAAAATTTAATAGACAATTTGCAATTTCTTTTTAATTTAAAATGTAAAAAACAATACGAAAAATTAATTTTTTTTTTTTTTTTCATTTTATTGATTAAATAAATGCAAAAAACTGATAAAACATTAATTGTGCAATAAATTTAAAAAAATTTTTGATTAAAAATGCAATAAAGTTGTATCAAAAAAAAAATATATAAATTGAATAATAAATTAAAAAAATATCAAAAAATAATTTCTAGCAAAAATATGAAAAATTTTATTTATTAAGAATTAATAAATAGTAAAAAAATATTTCTAAAATTTTTATTTGAAGAAATTAAATGAAGAATTAGACAACGATTATTTGTAAATAAATTATTTGATTTTTCTTTTTTTTTGTTTTTTTCATAAACAAAATATTTATTTAAATTTTTGAAAAAAAAATGAAAAATAAAAATATATGAATTAGATATGTGTGCAAATGAAAAAATATTTTTACTTTTTTTAGCACTTTTTTGTGGTTTTTTTTAAGAATTTAAATTTTAGTCAAAGTTTAAATTTTGTTAAATTAATTATAATAAAAATGTTAATTGATAAACAATAAATAATTCAAATAGTTGTAATTATCTAAACATTACTATATGTAATTAAAAATATTTAATAATATTTTAGGTATTTAATTTATCAATTTCCGCATTTTTTCTTTTCATTTATCGGAGACTAATAATCGCATATTTAAGAAATTCTTTTTCTTTCCCTTTTTTTTTTTTTTTTAATTGGAATTTTGTACTAAAATAAATAAATCATAATGTAATGTTTGTCTGAAATAATTTCTAAAATAAACAAAAGAAATAGAAAAAACGATAAAATAATATATAAATTAATTAAATTACAAAAATCAAAAAGAAAAGAAAGAATATCAAAACATACCGATTGTTAATTTTATTATTATTAAATTAATTTAACAACAAAAATAAATTATCAATGCAAAATTTTGCTTATTTAAATTAATTGTTTTATATTTATATAAATTATATAATTTACATATTGGAAATAAAAACAAAAAATGAAATAAGTATTGAAAATAAAAGAAAAATGAGAGAGAGAGAGAGAGAGAAAAGAGTATATTCTTTAATATATACAGTTTAGCAAAAGTTTTTTATTTTTTTTTTTTTTGAGAGAAAAAGCGAATTTAAAGTCTAATTAAAAAATGTTTAAAAATTAATTAGATAAGTAATTAATTAGTTTGCATCATTAAAAAGAAAAAATATAAACAACAAAATTTATGGTTGAAAATTATGATTACAGTTTATCAGAATCATTTTTTGATTTTTAAATTAGTCATTGTGGTAGGATTTAAAAAAAAAAAAAATAAACAAACAAACAAATAAAAGAGAGCAAAAAAAAAAAAAAAATTTGACATTCCTTTAAGATAAGTAAATGAATAAATAAATCATTCAATTTTTTATTAAATGATTATATGAAAAAGAAAAAAAAGGATTAAATAAGCGGAAATTAATAAAAAAAAATTGAAAAAAAAATTTGAAATAAAAAATTGTCAATTTGAAATATAATTTTTGTACTTTCTTTATACTTATCAGTTGAATTATTATCATTTTTTGAAAATTTTTGAGCAAATGATTAACATTTGAAAATTTTATTTGACTTTTAGTAAAATATAATTTTCAAAAATGAGAAAAAAAGAATTACAAATTCATTTTAAAGTGTAAATAAATAAAAAAAAATGATTCTTTTATTATTATTATTCTTTTTTTTCTGAAAAGAAATCGTTAAATCAATAAAAAATGTACGACAAAATTTTAAGTAAAATTTTCATTTGAAAGTGTTAAATAAGCATTAAAATATATATAAATTTCAATGTGTTAAGTAAACAAATTTTTGATTTTTTCACTTTTAAATAAAATTGTTAAATCAATAAAAATTTATTTTCACTCAAAAATATTTTTAACAAAAAAAAAAAAAACAAATAACAAAGAAATTTAATTTATTCTATCTACTTTTTCCAGCATTTTCGAATCTTTTTCGATTTAAATTATTAAATTAAATTAAACTTTTTTGAATTAAATTATAATCGTATCACGCAAATATGTTCAAAAATAATTTTAGCATTTAAATTTTGAATAAAATATGCGTGAAAAAATATTAGCAATAAAATAAAATTAAATATTAAGTTTAAATTTTATTATTAATTAATCTATGAATAAATGAAAGCAAAATAAGAAAAAAGAAAATGAAAATGATGTAAAAATTTTTAAATAATTAAAATAATCCAAATATTAAAAGTTGATTTTTTTTTTTTTTTTTTTTATAAATTTCTTTTTTAAAAAATCAAAAATTTGCTCTATCCTCATTAAGTTTAACTTTTTTATAAATTTTCTTATCCAATTATCAATTATCAGTTCATTTAATTATCAACTATCAGTTCAATTCATTTTATAATTTTCTAATCCAATTATCAATTTATCAGTTCATTTTATCTTTTCCTTATTTTTACTTATTATAGCAGAAACATTTGCTAAATTGTAAAAAATTAGAAATAATAGAAAGAAAAAATGTTTTAAAATTATAATTTATTTGATAAAATTAAAATTTACAGCATTATATAACATTTTGTAAAAGAAAAAAAAAAGATAATAACGAAAAGACAAAAAAAGAATTTTAAGAATTTAAGAAAGAAATTAAAGGATGGAAAAAAAAGTTTGTTTATAGCTATTTGAAGTAATCAAATATCAATAATCATTGAAAATTTTATGAATTTCAAACGAACAATTTGCATAACTTTTATTGCTAACATTTAATTTAAAACTTTTAAAAAATTTAAGAATTTCAAATGAATTTTATTTTTGTTTATTTCATTTTATTTTATTTTTGTCATAAAAAAAATAAATAAATAAATTTTATATATAATTAAATTTAAAAAAAAAAAAAAAAAGACAATAATAATTGTGTTGTTTAAAAATCGTTTAGTTTGCATATTTTTCCAGAAACAAAATATATTTTCAAATATTTTTAAAATAAAAAAAAATGATACAATGAGGAAATTTTAATTTTTTTTTATGGATTTATCCGAAAGCAATGAAATAATTTATCAAACAGAAAAGTAGCATTACGAACTTTTTTTTAAAGTATCATTAAAAATAAAAAAAAAAACTCATTATTTGAAAGTAATTCTCAAAAAAAAAAAAAAAAAATTCTTCAAACAATTTTGGAAAATTTAAAACTTTTCAAAAAAAAAAAAAATAAAAATAAAGGAAAGAATAAAAATTATATACAAAAAAAAGAGAAAAATGAGAGAGAGAGGAAAAAAACTTAT